CACTAAGCCATCTTACCAGCCCCAGGGGCTATCTTGATGTAGCTTCACTGTTTTCTAGTTGGGTGACTTTGGGGCAAGTCATCGCCCTTTCTGAATCTCAGTGGTCACCCCTGAACAAGGTCTATAGCCCTGGTGACACAGGCCTGTTACACTAGCTGCTTGGAAGACTAAGGCAGGAAGATTGCAAATTCAAGGCCAGCCTGGGAAACTTCCTGAGACGTCCCTGTCTCAGAAGAAAGAGTGAAGAGAATTAGGGAGATGGCTCAGCGGTTAACAGTACTTGTTGTATAAGCAAGAGGACTTGAGTTCAAATCTGCAGCACCCACCCACAGCACGGCGGAGACAGGATGCTGGAGTTTGCTGGCTGACAGCCTAATTCTATTCATACACAAGAGACTGGAGGGCTGAGGATGTAGCTCACGGTGGAGAGCCTGCTAAGCATGGGAGATCTTAGGTTCAGTCCCCAGTACCACAAAAGAACAAAAGAGAGAAAGCTTAGAGTCCATACCAAGACTGTTCTGACAGCCACTGAGGAATACACGCCTTTATTGACCAAAAACCACAGGCCTTCTCTCCTACAGGCTTCCCCATTCTGCACAGGGCTTCCATAGATCAAGTCGACAGCGAGGTGGCTGGAGAGGTGGCCAAGCAGTCAAGGTTGCCTGCTGCTTTCATAGAGGACCTAGGTTTGGTTCCCAGCACCCACATGGCTGCTCACCACCATCTGTAACTCTACTTCCAGGGGATCCAACCCCCCTTTTCTGGCTCGAGGGCACCAGGAACAGACATATGCAGGCAACACACCTACACGGTTCATGTATATTTTAAAGAGGGAAGCTATCCCGACCTCAGGCCTATGATCTCCTGCATCTACCTCGTATTTGGAATTACCTGGACTGTGGGGATATTGAGATACTGAGACAGAATAGAGCCATGGGTGGGACAGAGGGCCCTGTGTACAGTCCAGAACAAGGCAGAGTCCTTCCATAATCTTCTTGCAATGAACAGGCTACCTTTCCCCACCTGTACCTCCCCACAAATTTGCCAGAGAATCCCTCTGCCCACATCACACAAAAGATAAATTAAGATCATTTCTGTGGCCAGGTGGTGGTGGTGCACGTCTTTAATCCCAGCACTCGGGAGGCAGAGGCAAGTGGATCTCTGTGAGTTCGAGGCCAGCCTGGTCTACAGAGTGAGTTCCAGGAAAGGCGCAAAGCTACACAGAGAAACCCTATCTTGAAAAAAACAAAAGATCATTTCTGTCTCAATTGTCTTCTTCACAGACGGGGCAGATGTGCTTCACCTATTCACAGGTCCCGTCCTAGTGCCTAGCCCATGATAACCCGACTCTGTCTCCCTCTCCCACAGTCCACTCTGTTCACAAGATCCAAGGGCAGAGAAGACCATCAGAAACAAAACAACAAAAAAACACAGGGTTTTATTTCCATCCCATTGGGCAAGGCTCGGCAGGGCAGGGAGCAGGCTCTCATAGAGGGAAGAGGCCTCTCCTCTACTTGCCGGCGATGAGCGGGTTCCGCAGCACCACAATGACCGAATCCCCGCGCAGGAACATCTTGGAGATGTAGCGGTCCTTGTTGACAGGCTTGGACTTCTTCTTACCCTTGCCGCTCTTGGGGACCTCAGTCCACATCTCTTTCACATTCTCCAGCACCATGTTGCAGTGCCTGGTGAGACAGGGGTTGGGGAGAAGGCTGGAGTGAGAGGGGGCATTCTGAGTGCGCACCTCTGCCTGGCACTGGGTGATCCCCCTAGCAGCAGGCATGGAGAAAGGGTGAAGCTCCAGTACCATCTCAGCCCATTCTGTTCCTCAGTTTCCCCCTTTCTGAAATGGAGTTATCTATTTCACAGAGCTGACTGAGGACTGGTGAAGGAATGCAGTATTTCTGAAGCATGACCCCGGCATAGTAGAGGCAATCAAAATGGCTCCACTTCTGCCATCGACTCTAAGTACTTGGGGAAACAGCAGGAGAGAACACCTCTCCCTCCAAACCCAGAGGGTCCCAGGGTGCTGGGGTTAGGCATGGCTCCCAACACGTGCACGCCAGTGCTGCACTGTCCTGTCCTCATGGCGCCAGGTGGCCATGTGTTTACACTTGGATCAGTTCCTTCCAGAAATGCTTGCTTGGGGATGGCGAACGTGTACAATGATGGACATGTATGACTAGATCATAAGACAACTCCTTAAAGAAGGCACGACCTTAACTAAAGGATGAACCAGGCAGGATGGTGTATTCCATGCCTGTAATCCTAGCACATGGGATATACACGTAAGAAAGACAAATTTCAGCCGGGCAGTGGTTGTGCACACTTTAATCCCAGCACTCGGGAGGCAGAAGCAGGTGGATCTCTGTGAGTTCGAAGCCAGCCTGGTCTACAGAGTGAGTTCCAGGACAGCCAAGGCCACACAGAGAAACCCTGTCTCAAGTAACACACACACACACACACACACACACACA